GCTTCAGCTGAGACAACTTCTGCATAAGAGCCAGGGATGACTTTATATCTGCTTTCATATAGATATAATATTTAAATGCTCTTACACTTAAAGATGCTTAACAGTATATATCTTCTCAAAAATGCAGCAGAGCATCTAATAGTACTTGGAGCTCTGAGTGAGATAAAAACGCCTCAGACAGTGAATGGGCTCTTGTCACTGGGCATTGGTCCCATTTGGGCTGACCCCGTACTCTCTGAACCTTAGGCTAAAATAAAATGTGACTCAGCATCTGGTAAGTAGGAGCTTCAGAGAATAGGGTCTCTGGGCAGAAAAGTGAGGTCTGGGTTTGAAAGTTCATTCAATTATGAAACACTGCAGAGTAGCGAATCCAGTGTCCAGGCGTTATGCATGAAGCAAAGTCACAGTGCCCAAGGAGGGTATGTGCTGGGGACTCCAGCTAAGAGAGGGCTGGCTTTGCTGATGACGGACAATTAGCATACAGTAAGGCCTCAAAGGTTCCTGAGGAACGCACCATAGTGGCACAGTGATTAATGTGCTCTGCTGCTAACCCAAAGGTCAGCAGTTCCCCTCTCCTCCCATCTCTCAATTGTGGATAGAGGGAGGTCACCGGAGGCTTATTTCCTTTGTAGGTACCAGAAATGTGTCTTGGGCTCCCACTGTCATCCATAGCCTTCTGCATACCGGAATCTCACAATTTAGGCTCCTATACGAATCACATAAGCTTCATATTATGTGATTTACAATCCTTTGGTGAATAATGAAGATGTGCTTTTTCCATGAGGACTTAGTTGACATCTCACTTAGATGGCCGCTTGTTTAGAGACAAGCTTTTAAGACCGCAGACACTGTTTTATCAGATAGTCGGGCACCATCTAACTTCTTTGCCACACTTTGCTCTAGCACCCATATCTTCTGTGTTCCCTTCCTGAGGGCGAGTATTGGGCAACGCCATGATATAAAACCTAATTGCTTTGAAGTTGGAGCTAGGATTTAGGGTGAGACCCAAACCGATTCCGGGATCTATGCTTTTTGTTTGTTTTTATCTGCCTTTGGCTCCCTTTCAAAACCTCCTTGTTAATTTAAGGTAGAGAGTCTTATAGATCATACCCCTGGGGCATAACAATCCTCCGTTAATATAGCCCCTGGTACTCATTTTTTAAAGCCCTGTTGAAAGAAGGATATTGGCTAACTCCATATCGCAGTACCTGAATTATTCACTGGTACAGAATCAATCCTTTCGGGGCTGGATGCTGTTTGCACAAACACTGGGGGTTAATTGTCAGGGAAATGTACAATGATAATCACTGGGCATATCAGTCACTGGTTTGCTGGAATAATACATATCTTCATGCAGCATATGGGGCATTGATGTAGCAAGACCATGCTGGTCCACCTACCAACAGCTCACCAGTCTTGGTACAGCTGTCTTCCGCGTCCTCAGACACCATGTGTTTTCTGACTTAAGTCCTCAGGTGACAAGAGTGTCTGAGGTAGATTCCAGCCCACCCAGTGGAGTTTCCGCATCAGCTCTCACCGATGCAGCCTCTGGAGCCTATGTTCTGCATCTTGAAGGTCCAGGATTCAGTGTCCCAGCGGTCCAGGGCACCCGGCCTGTGGCCTGTGTCTCCACGATGCACCCAGAAGCCCAGGCCAATGTGGCCCATTCTGTGCATACCACCAAAGACATCCACCTCTCCCAAAAAGCATTTTCAGTCATTCTTGTGCCCAGCTGGAGGTTGGACCTCCTCTTTTCCTACCAGCAGACATGCACTTGTGTTCCCCCAGACATGTTGGCCCTCTTTCTCCTCTCCTGGCTTGATTTTCCATCAGTATCCCTTATCCCTCTAATAGGGCTATCTACCTGTCCAGGGGACCTCATCATACATTTACCTGACAGCCACTCCATAGACAACATCCCTTCCCCCATCCTTGGCCACTTGATCCCAGCTGACATGAGGTGCCCTCTGGCAATGTGACCTTCAAAACCCTTACCTAGAGCAGATGGTGTATGGCTCATTGGCACCAGTCAGGCTCTCTACCAGGCTGTCTGCCCTCTGGCCAGCAGACTGGATGCCCAACAAGCCTGAGCTTTTGCCCTTTCTAGTGCTTGTTCCTACAGCCGTGGACACATACAGTATTTGTCCTTTGGTGATTTACTAAATTCACTCAGCACAGTTTCTTCCAGATTGTGTTAGTCTGGGTAGACTAGAGAAACAAATTCATAGACACTCATATGTGTATAAGAAAGAGCTTTGACTTCCGGGAAGATGGCAACTGAGTAGCACATACCAGTGCGACTCCCGCAGAAATCAGCCCAGGAAAGTTTTTTAGAGGGAATTTCAACACTGATGGATCGCAGGAGGAGCATCATAAAGATAAGTAGGCACAGGACCCACAAGGTTCTGAGGGGCTGTGGGCTTTTGGCTTTCCACAGTGGAGGCCAGCTGGGGCTTGATCTTAGCCCTGCCACTCTCTCGACTGGACCCAGGACCATTTGGAGCCCTCACAGGGCTTAATCTCAACACAGCCACAGCCTCAAGGCGGGGGCCAAACCCTAGCTGCCCCATGGGCTGGGATCAGGGCTCAGCTACATTGTTACTTTTGTTTCCCTCTCTTCTCTCTATCCCCCTACAGTCTTAGCCAGCTTACTTTTTAATACTTTTTTCTCCTCTTCGTCTCTTTCCTGTTCTCTCACACTGTTCTCTGACCTCCAGACCACTCCCTTTAGCCTAGGGCATTTACGCCTACCTAACAGCCAGCTAGGTGAGCTCCACTCTGTGCAGGTAGCCCAAAGCATGCACAAGAATAAACTCAAGGTGGATCACAGACCTTGAAATTAAACCCCAAAAGATTAGGGCCATCAATGAGGG